CCCGCTGCATCTCATCTCCCTCAAGCTGAGCCTCATGCCCAAGCTCGAAGCCATGCGTCCAATTAAGTGCGCTGAGCGCACTGTCAACCAGATCGCTCTCCCGGCGGCGCGCGCGCCACCTGGCCAGCCTCCTGCCGCCCTGCCTCGCTGGCCGCGCGGGCGCCTCCTCCCGAGGTAGCGGGAAGAGGTCTCTGGTGCCCGCCGAGGGGGCCGCAGCCCCCGCTCCCACGCGTCGGGGGCCCGGGCTGGGAGCACGCGCCGGGGCCCCCTGGTCCGTCATGGCTTCGAAGCGGAGCCGCGACCACGGCCGCGGCCACCGCCGCGTCCCCCGCCGCTCTCCGCCTTCTCCGCCTCGTCAGCACCACCTTCGTCATCTTCACCAGAGCCGCCCTTCAGCCCGCGAGTGCGGGCCGTGTTCGGCTCGTTCTCGCCCTTCGCCCGCTTGATCCCCCACTGTCGCAGGGCGGGAGACGCGCTGTCCAGCGCGCCCGACACGCCCTCGTAGTGCCTCGCCATCCGCCATGACGGACCGCCGCTGCCGCTGTAGGCGTCCACGATCGACGATATGCGGCGGCTGATGCGCTCGAAGCACTGCAAAGCCGGCATGTTCAGCTGATCGAACGCGCCACCGATGTACACAACCTCGACCAGATTCTGCAGCTCGTGGAACACCCGATCGGACTTCTCGATCCTCCTGTCCCGGCAGAAGTCCGCGAGCCACATCTTCGGGTTTCCCCCGTTCCTGGCGGTCTGATTCATCCAGTGCAATAGCGAGGGAGGTCCTTCCACGGGTCCATCGCTCCAGGTCTCCGTGCGTGACTCCAAGCAGACCTGCCGCCATTCCTTGAAACGTTCGCCTCGGGGATCGTAGCCCACCCAGAGCGCCCTGCACTCCTCGGCGGCGGCACCTTTGACATCGTCTCTGGGGGCGTCCGTGCCTTGGCCACCCGCGGCCTCGCCACCAGGGGCGGCGGGCCTGACATGGGCAGACGCGATCTCCAACAGCTCCCGAGAGCGCGCCTCCACCTCCGAGCGTCGCACAATCTCGCACTTCACAAAGAGGCCACCCCCGTGCTGCTTCATCATCGCAGACTCGCTGACGTGCATGTCCACGCCGTCAACAGGCACCACAATGCTGCCGACTGCGTCGGGCCCCTCCAGGCCGTAGGTGATCCAGCAGTGCTCTGGCGCCGTCCGAATAGCGTCGGCGGCCGCCACTGCGCCGCCGCCGTCCAAGGGGCCCAGCGCCGACTCCATCTCGTGAGCAGCCGCATCTGGCCAGGGCTGCACCGCTCCGTCCACGTCCACGAAGTCTCTTGGCAGCGGTTGAGGCGTGCCAGCGCTGGCCTGGGCGCGGAAATGCTCTACGGCCTTGCGAACCAACTGCGCGTCCGTGGGGTGCTCTCTGAACCGGTAGAACTTTCCTCGAAGCATTCGAGGGGCACCCCCCTCCAGCGTGAGCATGGCCAGCCTCGTCGGCCCAGGCTGGCTCCCGTCCAGAGCCTCTTCATACTCGTCGCCGTCCGGGGTCATCGCGCGCCAGTTCCAGCCAGGCAGTGTCCCCAGCTCCTCAGCGCTAGAGCCTATCAGAAGCCGCTCGTGCCACAGCCCATCCTCTGGGTACTTCACCGCCACTACTTGTCCAGGCCGCAGCCTAGGCAACATGCCCTCTTCTGTGCAGTTTCCGCCCGTCTCCGTCACCAGCCTCGCGTTGCGGGCCAGGGCCGCCATCACTGCGGCGGGTCCACCAGCTCCTTACTTGCAAGCCGACCGAGACAAGACCTACCGCCACGGCCCAGCCGCCGCCAGCCGAGACCTCGCAGCTCGGACACTCGCAGCGGCACTCCACGGGCTCGAGAGCCTGCTCGCGCCGGCCGGCGCCGCCTGGCGCTCCAGCGGGATCGTCGAGCCAGGGAGGCGGCAGCCCCCGCGCCTGGCGTCCAGCTCCTCGAGGGCGTTCGCGACCACCGACTCGAGGCTAGGCGACGCCTCCACGGCCGGCTCGGGCGAGAAGCGTCGCACCTCTGGGAGAGAAGTCAGGAGCACCAGGACCGCCCACTGCCAGTGCGCGACACCCGCGCCCAGCATGCAGGAGGTGGCCCCCAATCTCCCCGGCTGATCTGTGGAGCCAAAGGCTATGGGCATAGACCAAAGAGCGACAAAGCGTGATCAACAAACATTTCTGCGCACGCACTCCCAGGATTTGTCATTTGTTCCTTTTCGGCCTTCCGACGGCCCGAGACGGCCCAAGAACCCTCAAAGATCACCCAAAAATCGCCCAAGAGGCCTCCAAGATGGCCCCAAAACAGCCCAAGACGCCCCCAAGACGGCCCCAAGAGGCCCCCAAAACGGCCCAGGGATCTTGTAAGACGCCCAAGATGGCCTCCAAGACGGCCCTGGAGCATTCCAAGAGGGCCCCAATTCGGCCCAGGGAGGCCCCCCAAAACGGCTTCCGATGGCATCAGACGGGCCAGGAGCCCACCAAGACGGCCGAAGATGGCCCTAAGATGGCCCAGGACGGCCTCCAAGAGGGCCTCCAGGAAGGCCCGACAAGGCCGAAAACACTGATGTTCCGTTGGCTTTCGAAGGATTTTGACACTTGCTTCTTTCTGCCTTCCGACGGCCCGAAATAGCCCAAGAACCCCCAAAAATCGCCCAAAAGGTCTCCAGCATGGTCCCAAAACGGCCTAAGAGGCCTCCAAGACGGCCCCAAGAGGCCTTCAAGACGGCCCGAAAGGCCTCCAAGACGCTCAAGATGGCCTCCAAGACGGCCCTGGAGCACCCCAACAACGGCCCAAGTCGGCCCAGCCTCGCCCACCGTGTTCCCCGAACGCTTTCCAAACCGATTCGGGGAACAAATGGTCCGAACGTTGCAGCCAAAGGCCTGCCAATGGCAGGCCTCTGGCCGCAGCGTTCGGCCACATAGGCGTTTCCATAAAAGGCAGGGGGCGGCGGTGATTCGCCGTAGGCGTCTTCGATCCGCCGCCCCCTGTCGATTCATCGCAGGGGTGCCTGGCGTACCAGATCCTATCGGTTTTGATTCTTTTCCCAAAGAACTCCCCCTGGGGTTTCGGCCCGTTCCGCCGGGGTCCCGGAAGGCCGCGTAAACCACCCCAGCGTCCCCACAACATCCTCCAATATGGCTCAAGATGGCCTCCAAGATGGCCATGGTGGCCCAAGATGGCCTCCAAGATGGTCCAGATGGCCTCTAAGTTCGCCCAAGATGGCCCAAGACGGCCTAAGAGAGTTCAAGACGGCCCAAGAGGCTCCTCAGAGGCCTCCAAGACGGCCCAAGAGGCCTCCAAGAGGTCCTCCAGGAGGGCCCGAAGAGGCCCAAATCATTGATTGTCCTTAGGTTGTTGAAGGATTTTGGCCTTCGCTTCTTCTCGGCTTTCCGACGACCCAAGACGGCCCAAGGGGCCCCCCAAATCGCCCCCACAGAGCCCAAGATACCTCCAATATTGCCGCAGGACTGCACAAGAGGCCCCCATAACGGCCCCAAGAGGGCACACAGACGACCCAAGAGGCCTCGAAAACGCCCAAGATGGCCTCTAAGACGGCCCTGGAACACCCCAAGAGGGCCCCAAGTCGGCCCAGAAAAGGCCCCCCAATCGGCTTCCGACGGCGTTCGACGGGCCAGGAGCCCACCAAAATGGCCGAAGTTGGCTCGAAGCTGGCCCAAAACGGCCCAAGAGGCCTCCAAGAGGGCCTCCAGGAAGGCTAAGAAAAGCCACGAAAACCGATTTCCCGTATGTTGTTGAAAGATTGTTTGACATTTGCTCCCTTTCGGCCTTCCGACGGCCCGATACGGCCCAAGAGCCCCCAAAGATCGCCCAAGGATCGCGCAAGAGGCCTCCAAGATGGCCCCAGAACGGCCCAAGAGGCCCCAAAACGGCCCCAAGAGGGAGGCATCTTAAGACGCCCAAGATGGCCTCACAGACGGCCATGGAGCATTCCAAGAGGGCCCCAAGTCGGCTCAGAGAGGCTCCCCAACGGCCTTCGACGGCGTCGGACGAGCCAGGGGCCCACCAAGACGGCCGAAGATGGCCCTAAGATGGCCCAGGACGGCCCAAGAACCCTCCAAGAGGGCCTCCAGGAATGCCCGAAAAGGCAAACATTAGTGATCTCCCATGAGTTTTTGAAAGGGTTGTAGCATTTGTTTTTTTTCGGCCTTCCGACGGCCCGAAACGGCTCAAGTGCCTTCAAAGATCACCCAAACTTCCCAAGACGGCCCCAAGAAGCTCCCAAGACGGCCCACGAGGCTTCTAAGACGCCCAAGATGGCCTCCAAGACGGCCGAAGAGCCCTCCAAGACGTCCTCCAAGAAGACCCGGAAAAGGGTCAAAATGGCCTCCGGGCGGCCAAGATGACCTTCAAGATGCCCGCGTGTTCCCCAGAGGCTTTCCAAACCGACTCGGGGAACACATGGCCCGATAGCTTGGCAGGTCTGGCCGCAACGTTCGGCCACATAGACGCTTCCAAAAAGGCAGGGGGCGGCGGTGATTCGCCGCAGGCGTCTTAGATCCGCCGCCCACTGTTGATTCATCACAAGGGTGCCTGGCGTGCAAGACTTTTTGGTTCGTTTTCCAAGAAAACTCCCCGTGGGGCTCCGGCGCGTCCCGCCTGCCACCCGGAAGGATGCCGAAAGATCTTCCAGAGGTGGTTGCAGAACGCCTCCAAGACGGCCAAGATGGCCTCTAAGACGGCTAAGGTGGCCCCGGGATGCCTCCAAGACGGCCCAAGATGCACCCAGGACTGCCTAAGATGGCCCAAAACGGCCCAAGAGGCTCCCAAGAGGCCTCCAAGACGGCCCAAGAGGCCTCCAAGACGTCCTCCAGGAAGGCCCGAAGAGGCCACAAACACTAATTTTTTGTTGGTGTTTGAAGGATTTTGGTATTTGCGCCTTTTGGGCTTTCCGACGGCCCAAAACGGCCCGAGAGGCCCCCAAGTCGCCCCCACAGCGCCCAAGAGGCCTCCAAGATGGCCCCAGGCCCAAGAGGCCCCCAAGACAGCGCCCCCGGCCACAGCAAGGGCCGGCAAACCGCCTCCGCCAATGCCGCCGCCAACCCCATCCGCCGCACCGCCGCCTGCTGCTGGTGCCGCTCCCGTTGCAGCAACCCCAGCACCTGCTGAGATATGTCGGCTCCCGACGTTCGGTTCCACGGCCGCCGCAGCTGGCAACCCAAGCTCCGTTTCAACCGTTTGCTGTGCCGCCTTCACCGTTGTGGCCAGAAGCACCGCGCGGAAACGGTACCCAGGATCGCCACCGATCCCGACTGCGGCTCCGCCTGCGGCGCCTCCCGCACAAACGACGCAGGCCGCCACGTCGGGGCCGCCCACCAGCACCTCCGTGTAGGCGTCGCCGTCGGGGGTCAGGATTCCCACTCCCCAAAGGGGTCCCGCCGCGAGCGCCAACACGAGCCGGTCGTGCCACAGACACTTGCCGCCGACGGCGTACCTGATCATCACGAAGTCGCCTGGCTGCACTCCGAGCGCACTCGAAGGACGCGTCATCCCCACAGCGCCGCACTGCAGCGCTTGCTCCGAGCAGCTGCTGCCTGCTCACGGGCCTCGCCCTCCAGGCTGAGCGTCGCCGAGACAGCTGACTCCTCGCGCCGCGCGCATCCGCGCCGGCTGGCCAACCGATGGGCTACGGCCCCGCAGGCCGCGCCTGCCAGGAAGACCAGCGCGAGCGCGGCGTGGCCCAGCAGTCTCCAGCCAGGTGGGCGCCTCAGCGGCCGCGATCGGTCCTCCAACTCCACAGCTCAGGGCGGGCCGACTGACGCACGCCGGGCACTCGTTCCGCGCAGCCCACACTATCCGCGGTACCCGCGGACCGCAGAGATTCACCGAAGAGGCAATGGACGAGAGTCTGCATCCGATTGCACTTTGAGCCTCCAATGGCGATGGAGATCACCGTGCGGCCCCTCGCGTTTCACGTGCGCCAGCCGTTGTCGATACACATATGTATGTATGTATGTATATATATATATACACACGTGTATATATAGTATATCATATTATCCGCCGGCCCCCTTGTGGGGCCACCAGGCTGCGAGGCGCGTGATTCGCAGTTTCCTGTACCAGTTGTAGGTTCTAGTTTCCAGTGTTACAGTTCTGCTTCTTGCTGGTTACTGTAACTAGTTGACTTCTTGCTGGTTACTGTAACTAGTTGATTGACCGCGCGAGGGGGGGGGAGGCCCAAACAGGATTTTCCAGCGTCCCCTGGGCGCGTTGTCTGAATTACTGGGGGGGCTGGAAATCGACACCCCTCACGCAGATCCGCGGGGTCAGGGTCCAAAAACACAGGGGATTTGCCACATTTCTGAAATTCAGTGCCACCCCTCACGCAGATCCGCGGGGTCAGAACACATGAGATTGGCCACATTTCTGAGATTCGTTGCCACCCCTCACGCAGATCCGCGGGGTCAGGGTCCAAAAACACATTGGCCACATTTCTGAAATTCGGTGCCACCCCTCACGCATCCGCGGGGTCAGGGTCATGATTGGCCACATTTCTGAAATCCGGTGCCACCCCTCACGCAGATCCGCGGGGTCAGGGTGGCCACATTTCTGAAATTCGGTACCACCCCTCACGCAGATCCGCGGGGTCAGGGTCCAAAAACACAGGGGATTTGCCACATTTCTGAAATTCAGTGCCACCCCTCACGCAGATCCGCGGGGTCAGGGTCCAAAAACACATGAGATTTGCCACATTTCTGAAATTCGAACCCATCACGCACATCCATCGCAAGGCGTGGTAACCCAAACTGCGAGAACTCCCTCGGCCCTTTCATCGCAAGGTGTGGTAACCAAGCCCTTAAACCATACACGTCTTACCAATCGCCAGGTGTGGTAACCCCTCTTGTGATCAGTTGGTTTTGCTGATTGCGACTCGGCTTCGCATGAAGTTTCGATACTGCTTCACGACAGCGCCAAGGTCTCATGACTTAGCTCTTCCATGGCCCATTCTCCGAGAGAGGGGGCCGGCGGCAGGGGGCGAAGCCCTTACGGATATTATATTATATTATAGTATATTATATTATAGTATGTTTTGTTATAATATATTATATTGTATTCTATTATATTCTATTATATTCTATTCTATTCTATTCTATTCTATTCTATTCTATTATATATAGGTGTGTGTGTGTGTGAGGGTGAACTGCCGCGGGTATCTACCTCGATCGAGAAGAAGAATAAGAGGAAAAGGACGAGGAGGAGGAAAAGGAAGAGGAAACCATACAAAAGAATACGAATCATATACTTTAAGAAGAAGAATAAAAATATTAATACTAATAACAATAATAATATTACTGATGCTAGAACCGTTTTCGGTGCGGGGGGCCACCGCCGAAAGTCCGGGATGAAGATCGACCTCCCTGGCCGGTGCCACCCCTTCGCAAAGGAAGGACACGTTGTGGATCGAGGCTCGAGGCATGAGACTCCTAGTTCTTGGGCGCTCTTCGCCCCCTCTGGGCCTTCAGGAAACTTCTCGTCGACGCAGCTGGGTCCACTCTCGGACAGGCCCCGTGAAGGCCCCAAGAAACTCATATAAGACCACGAAGGACTTCAAGACAATCCCCTACAAGGCCCCCCCTTGAACCCCACACGCTACGTAGGACAGGCCGAAACCCCAAAAAAGGCCCAGCGATCGCGCGCGTTCCGCGAATTCTGTCTTTCACTCTTGCTGCCGCTCCAAGGGGTCGGCGGTGTGGCGTAAGGCACTGAATCAAGCAAAGCGCAGCAATAATGCAATAGTACACATCGGCGGGGACAAACAACGCATTTACTGGGCGCAATCAGTACCAAACTGTGCCATAGGAGGGCGCCAAGGATGCTACAGGCAGAGACATGCAAAGCAGGAGAGAAGAGATGGGACGACCAGGAGCGATCGGGCTACACATTCAGCCCGCCACCCGAGAGTCTGGGAGCCGCCCAGTTGGCGGCGGTGGCAAGCGCGGGCGGAAGCGCGCTCGAACTGGTCAGAGCCTCGAGCACAGGCGAGCGCAGACAAGAAGAGACGAGCCGACGTGTGCAGCCACAGCCTGGTCGCATCAGCTGTGGCGATGGGGTCGGAGCTCCACCCGCGGCGCTCCAGACAGACTCTGCGACCGCCCTGAGGGGGGAATTAGGGCGGCAGCAACGCCCCGCCAACAAACTTGTCCGAACAAGAAAGCGGGCGGCGCGGACCGCGGACAAAAACGGCGCATCCTCGCAGCAGAAAGCGGACAGGAGAGGCTGGGTAGTCAGGTCGGACATCGACGCGTCAGAGCCGTTGCGAGCCAGCGAGCCCCGAGGCAAATCGCGATTCATGACCAGCAAGCCGCGGCGAAAGGCAACCCAACCACAAGCAGCAACGGCAGAAACACAACGGAGCAGCAACAAAAAATACGCGCAGGAGGGGACGCGCAACAACAGCAACACCGACGACGGCAGACGCAGCAGGTGGGCGCGCCGGAGGGACACAAGAAAACGAGCACACTAAAAACGAAACCACCAAAGCCAGAGAGCAGGACTCTCGAACTTGTCAGGACCTCGCGCGCGCGAGTGCATGCAAAGCAAGGTCAGCTGTACCCAAGTGTTGAACGTTCCCACCCTTGTCGAAAGCAAGCTCGCGAGAAGGAGACGAGCAAGAACGGCAAAGAGGCAAAGGAAAGGCGAGGCGGCGGTACCCAGCGGAGCAGATTTCTGACCTGCCCATGTCCACGTCAGGTCAAGCAAAAGAGCAGGCGGCAGAGAAGCGCGCCGCTGCGTCACCCTACGGAGAGGCCTCCAGCATCCAACGAATCGGGGCCTGAAGCGAAGAAAAGAAGGGCAGTGACACAAGGACAACATAAGACTGAGAGGCAACACGGGCGGCACGTCGGCGATCGCACTCTTTTTCTCTGGACAACCGAGGAGCTGGACGAAACGGGAGAGCACAGCAGAGCGGGGGAGAGCCCAAAAAGCCAGGAAGCAGGCGCGGGAACGAAGCGAAAAGGGAAAGAGCCCACTTTGATTCGGAGTCCCTGTGCCATCGGTTGCAGTTGTCCCAAAGTCGCTGCACCGTTAATATGAAACCATGTCGCAAGATAAAAGATCTCACCTGAACTGAAGGAAGCACATGGCCGCACGGTTGTGCATCAGTGGCGAAACATCGCTCAACACCTGAAGATACACCACGTTCAGAAAGCAACGCCAGCAGATTGCAAACGGTTGCATGGCTCTTTTCAGGACAGTCGCATCACTGACACTTGCGCCGAACTGTATGAGATCTGCTCTTGGGGGTATGATGTGACATGCCATGTGCCTGAGCCGGTCGCAAGTGCGTTGCACACGAGCAAGCTTGCGCAACACTTCGCGCCAGGGGAGGACCCACGCCTCTACGAGAGCCTCTCCTTCGGTGGTACTGATGTAGACTAGGAGAAAAGGGAAAGAGGGGAGATGATGACCTTGGTAATGATTCTGAATCTTCCTCGTCGACGTCCGCCTCCTCCTCATCGTCATTCCTCATCCTACTAATCCTCCTCCTCCTTCTCCTCCTCCTCGTTGCCCCATTCCTCATCATCATCACCACCCTCATCATCCTCCCTCATCCGCCTCATCACAACCATCATACACTACATCATAATCCATCCTACCCATCATCATCATCAGCATCATCATCATCATCATCGTCATCATCACCATAATCATCATGATCATGATCATGATCATCATCAGCATCATCGTCATCATCATCATCAGTATCATCACTATCACCATCACCATCATCATCATACATAACATCATCATCACCATCCCCATCACCACCATCAACATCTGCATCCATGAACACGCTCGTCATCAACATCATCCATCCTCCTCATGTGCCTCATCATCCCAATCGTCATCATCATCATCACCACCACAATCCTCAGCCCGCCTCCCACCCCCATTCTCCTCATCGCCGTCGTCGTCATCATTATCATCATCACCACCATCATTCCCATCGTCCTCATCATCACCAGCAGCAGCAACAGCACCATCATCATCATCATCATCATCATCATCATCATCATCATCATCCCTTCTCTTCCTCATCATCGTTCCTCCTGTTCCTCCTCCTCCTCATCATCACCACCATCACCATCATCTTTCTCATCATCACCATCATCATCGTCATCATCATCATCATCGTCATCAACATCATCATGGTCATCATCGTCACCATCATCATCCCTCATGGTCCTCCTCCTCCTCCTCCTCATAACCATCATCATCGCATCATCATCACAATCATCATTACCACCATCACAATCAACATCATCAACATTATCATCATCAGCATCATCCATTCTACTCCTCCTCGTGAGGATAATGATGGGAAGAGTGAAGCGAGTCCGAAGTTGAGTAGAGTGATGAGCGTGAGGAAGAGGAGAAGGCGGAGGATGAGATGTAGGAGAAGGAGCATACTTAGGAGAGTCAGGAACGTGATGAGAGTGAGGAGAAGGAAGAGGAGGAGTAGCGGGGAGATGGGGGCCCACCCAATGAAAAACAATACGAACTGTCCATTCTGAACGCTGGCAAATCTGTACACTTGAAACAGGCACGAAAACAAGCACTACAAGCTATCACGAACATAATTCGATACACTAAAACAACAATACGATTTCCGTACAACCAAACACAATAGGCAATCACACAACCAACAAACAAAAATAACGGATTGGGTACTTCAGGCGGCCCTGGGCGAATTTGGGCTGGAAGGGCATGTGCTTTGTATCAGAATGTGTTGTATGTTTGAATTCGTCTTGGTACCCTCACAAGATTCGTGGACCAAAGAGGTCGTCTTATTGTTTATGATTGTACGGCTTGCTTTTTGTTTTCATTGTGGCCAGACCCGCCCAAGCATCTTGAAGGCCCAAGCACCTCTTATTTGTTCGAATCGCCTCACACTTGCTGTGTTTCAGCTTTTGTGGTGCCCTCACGGGCCCAAGACGTGCCCTCACTGCTTTTGATTGGATGGGTTTCGTACTGAGTTCAAGTGTAGGTTGTTCTTATTGTTGTTGAGTGTATGGGTTTCTTATTGATTTCGATTGTAACTACTGCAAGGAACGCTGAATACAGAACGACGGCACTTTTCTGTTCACAGCGAGCCTCGGCCACGAGTATTTCAGCTCTCTGGCCTTGACCTTAGGAGCGGCCCGAAAACGGTAGCCTCCTGAGCCCAAGGCGGTCCTTATTTCAACATCTCGACAATACTGGTGTGCAGGCCCCGCACCCGTCCCCTGGGCCGCCGAACCTCGCCCATCGCGCCTCAGGATGCGCGGTTGTCTTCGCACCCTCGCGCCGCCACTCGTGGAGAGGAGGGGCAGCTTCCCGGTCCATCCGCGAAGCGCGAAGGCTGATTAGTCTTCGCGCCCCTGCGGACGACCCAGTGGCCCAAGGCAGCGGGCCTGCGGGCAGAATGTCTGAACACACTGGCCCGATACCGGTAGCCAGTGAGTATGGGACCACAAGAACCGCCCGTGGACTGCTCCCTGCAAGGGCTGGGAGGAGAGGGAAAGGGGGAAGGATGCGCCTGGAGGAGGAGAAGAAGGCGAGGGGGAGAGCACGCTCGTGGAAGCCTCCTCCATCGGTGTTCTTCGTCGCGGCGGCGCGAGTGACCTCGTGCGCGCGCCAGGCGAAATGGGAAGCGGAGCTCTGCTGCATGCAATACCAATTTGCGACGTCGGCGAAGAGCGATCTGCCCACCAAGAATTGCAGGCCCGAACCTCCTTCGAGGCCCTCCATTTCACGCAAAGCGCGCGAGCCGCGCCCGAGACGCCCCGATCACCCGCCGACCCCTGCGGCGGGCGCCCTCCAAAGCACAGACGGCGCCTCTCACCGCGCAGGCACGAAGACCGGGGGGCGTGACAGGTGTGAGGGGGGACGATCATGGAGGATCGCGAATAAGGAAAAGATGAGGGGGGAACGAGCAACAAGCAGTTTCACATGTCGCTGGGCCAGATTTTGGAAAAGCCAACCTAAGAATCTCGATTAGAAGGACGACGAATTCTACGAGCAGGCCTGGAGCCCAATGTATTAATTAATCATCGCCTGGGACGTTGCTGCGTGACGGCCCCCTTGGCGAACACAGGGGGCCGGCGTGACCGATGTGAGGGAGAACGATTGGGGGGGACTGGCACAAGGGGTAGGAACCTAGCGAATGCGATCTGCAGCCCGAAGCGATTCCATTGGCATCGGTTGGAGACACAATTTCTCGATTACGCGAGGAACGCTTGACGTGCGATACATGTCGTAATGATGTCCTATCCGCCAATCCTCTCTTGCATGCGCCTTCTGTTGCCGTGGTGTCACGCCCTCCATCTCCGCTTGCGGAGCGATGGGCCTCTATCGGCTCCTCCACCAGACTTGACTTGACTTGGGTTTGGTCCCCCCGCGCCTCCCGAAAGCCGTGCACCCAAGGTCACTCTGGCGAAGTGTCACTCTTAAGCGTAGCCGATGCCCAACCTCCTCCTCCATCATCCGTTCAGCTGGCTCCCAGCCCTTGGGGATCGGGTGGACAGAGGCTCGCAGTGAAGGTGGGGGAGGAGGGGGCAAGGATGGGATAGAGGAATAGGAGGATGCGGAGGAGGCGGAGAAGGCCGACGAGGTGGCAGATGAGGGAGGATAGAATTGAGGAAGAGAAGGAGCAGCAGGGGATGGGACGTAGGTGAGGGCGGAGGGAGGACACGGGAGACAGAGGGCCAGGAGAAGGCTGACAGACGAGGGAAGGCACAACAGACCAGACGAGACCGTGCAGGACGGACGGACAGACCGGACGGTCCAGACGGACCAGAACTCGACCAGGACAGACACACCAAAACAGAGCAGGCCGGACGGACTCCACCATACCGAAGGCGGCCAGCGAGTGCATTTCCGACCGTACCGTCGCGGAGCGATGCGCACAGTGCTAATGTGCTAATACGACATCGCACGTACGCCCAGACCCTGCCCACGCCAAAACGGATTCGCGCGGGCGATATCTATCGCGAATGCACGTGCGTGTAATGCACATTCTGACGCAGTCCTACATACTCACGGGCCACATGCACAGGTGTTGCCAAGTCAAGGATATACATACGCACCTACTCCCTTAATGCAGTAAATGCTCTGCTAGCCATGCCGCAGCCCCCCCCCCTACACGGGACGGCAAAAACCTAAAGCGTGGGCGGGCCGACAAGCGGAAGAGACGTGCTGCGCTGCGGTGCTGCGCATAAATCTTGACCCACTGCTTGACTGCAAACATCTGACCAGATCCAACCAGGCCAACTTGTGCCGACCAACGCTGAAGCGCACCATTAGCAGACTGGCAGCGGCAACAAACGCAATGCGATAAAGAGGTCGGATGGAGGGTGTCGCGCGGATCGAGGACGCCTAGATGCGTCCAGAGAAACATCGCTCACCCCTCCCACTCTTCAAAGCACGCGAGGCCACCTCTAGCAGGAGCGCAGGGTTGGAGCTCAACTCGTCGAATCCCTTGCTGTATGCGACCTCCGAAAATGCGGGTTGTGGCAACACAGCTCGACATTGAACGCCAACGCTCCTGCCTCTGGAAACATCAAAAGAAACAACGACATGCACACAAACTTTCGGAGCGCCAGGGACGGCGCCATGGGGGTCCAGCACCGATCCAAGAAATCCGCGCGGAGGTCCAACAACTTTTGCTCATGTAGTGTTACCTTCTTCGAACCTGTGCACACCGTGGTGGATGGGCAGAACCCGCATTAGCAGATCATCCTTCAGCGAAAACGACCCGTGGGCCAGATTCAGCGGGAGCATGTCGCGAACAACGTGGCCGCAATGCCTCTTCGAGAATCGAGAGAGGGCAATTCGCTAAACGACTCAACAATGTGTGGAGGGAAAGAGAACGAGGACTATGACCAAGACTGAACGCGGAAACGTTGATATCGATCTTGGTCATCGTCCATCTTGGTCATCGCCAACTCGTGGATAATCCTTGCGAACCGGCGACGGTCGGCATGGAACATGACCAACATCTGCATCGGCAAGATCCCGCGATACCTTGGTAATGGTCTTCTCTCTGCCGTCCAGAAAACGCAATCCGATAATCTACTTGGCAAGGTGGGGGTTATATCAATCTTCGAGCCTTCGACCTCAGGAGGGGAAACGTTAGGAAGAGATGGGCTCAGGGGGTGGACCATCGAGCTGGAATCGGTGGACCATCGAGCTGGAATCGGCGATACATCGCCGATAGAGCAGTGATGAGCTCCCGATAGCGAGACCGCACGCTCCTGGGCGGGGTGGGCTATCGGGCCCCTGCCGACGATGAATGGGCAACTGGGGGGCGATGTCCTCGAGAACCCATCCCCGCCACAATGATCCTCGCCGTGCGGTGTACGGGTCATGACTCGGGTCCCGGGGCGGCCGTTCGTGGACGATCCCGGCCCCCCCCCCGAATGCTCTCGGCGAGGCTCAGCCGCTGGAACGCATCCCGAGGCTGAAGAACCGCCGAGAACCGACGAAAACGCCCGCAAACCTGGAACCTCGAACCCCTCCGAAAAACCTGAGCCGATCCCCTCCTAACGTTGCCCCTGACTCATGACTACACTCGACTTGGCAAGGTGGAGTGCTTCTGTAGCAACCTCCGAACCATTGCCTCTTGGCCCCTGGACAACGGCCACGTGCCCTGGACCTCTCTTCGCCCCGCGCTGCTGCTGCTGCCTCCGCCCGTCGACCTCTTCTCGGCGGCGCGCCCAGGGGGGAGAGCAGAGGGGGAAAGCCTTCTCGGAAGGCTCTGACGGCCTCGGGCCTTCTGGGAAGCTTCCTGATAAACCTTCTCCGAAGCCCCGCCGCCTTCAAATTCTGAGACGGCCTGCCTCCTCCCACTTCCCAGCTCGGCGCGCCGCCGATTCACTGAGCGGCCGTACTCCTGCATGCGCAACTCCTCTGGAAGAAAAAGCAGCTGCACAGACACAACTCTTTCGGAGCTCCTCGAAGAACACCACCGCATAAATATAATTTCTCGGAACTC